CCACCCACACAGCACTCGTCCACTCATATTTCTTGACAATACACATCACACACACATATATTTTCTATTACAACATTAATGTATTTGAATATTAATTTATCTTTTAATTTTCAGTCATTTTATCCAAGGTTGGAAGGCCTAAAGCCTATCTATCATTCTATAAGAGATATCATCTTTAATGACCATGACCAAGAAGAATGGCCAGGTCATTCATTAATTGGACTAAAACATTCTGGCAAAGTTAGTTGACAAGACTAGGAGAAGTTTGGAAGAACAGGAGCCACATGAAAAATGTGATTTTCCCCATTTCTCTGGATTTTTTTCTACTATTGGTTGGGAGAGTCGTGTGCAAGAGAACAACCTTTTCTCTCACACCAAAATTGGCTTGTAGCGTCACTGGGATAACRAACATGGCATTGTAGTTATGTACAGTGCACCAGTTTCCTAAAGCTTCCTATATTTTAGACCATGTGTCATTCCCTAGAGCATAATGGTTGTGCATGAGAAGAAATGTGAATAGRGATGCATTTCAAACGAAGAATCCTATTCTTAAGAGAAATGACACGTTCTGAAATACCTGGCCCTGACAAACTGAGGTCTGTTAGCAAGTGATATCTTATCTACAGGGCTGGGGAAGTCCAGTAACCCATAATGATTTGGAGTCATTAAGTCAGCAACTGGAGCCTCCCCTTCCTACATTGTATATTTTGAACACCCAATCTGAAGAGGTCTCTTCAAACTGGTTTAAATTTATGTTGCAACATATTTGAATGTTGATGTAACCGTGTGCTTTGTGCCACTTTCTTTCATGCTCTTATGGGGAAGCTTTTTAGGATGCACAAATTGCAACAGGTTTGAGATCTTCTTTGGCACTATTACTTGCAATAAAATCTCGGTAGGCGCTCCTGTAACTTATATTTTATATTTTTTACAACCATCAATCCCTAGCTGTAAGAGACTATTTCATGAGGTTCACTCCACATGCATAAATACCATGACTATACATTCTATATTTCATTGGAAGCACAGGTGGGGTAGTGGTGAGAGTGCTCTCCTCTCACCAATGTGACCCAGGTTCAAGTCCTGCCATGCTCTAGCCTCCTCCGCAGGCTACTCCATATACATGTACAGTATTCTATATTCTCTGTTGGGATCCCTGTATTAAATTTTATGGCAGAGAAGAACTAGGAACAAGAGAGAGGAGGAGGAGTGGGAATGAGGGAGGGAGAGAAAAAGCGAGAGGAGTAGCATCTCTTCTTCTTTTTTCTCCCTCCCCTCCCCCTTCCCCCTTTGTCTTTTTGTCCTCGCCACAGGAAGCCTAAGGAGCAAAAGGAGATGTCTGCGGAGGAGGCTAGCCAGGCTCTATGTTGTATCTGTTGAGTATAATTGTTGCTTGGTTCTCTCCTGTGCTATGAATAATTTTTTTCTGGGTTCTCCTGTTTTCCTCACTCAGTAAGAGACAGGAAAACCRTAGAACCTGGAGCTGGCATGGGAAAGTACAACACATCAAACAAACTCAAACTCGCATATRCAGTTCAGTTGGGACTCAAACATGTGACCCCAGCCCTGAACTACTGTGGTGTTATTGGTAATRAGGTTACACCTTTTATGATTATAAACTTTCTAGTTACTGCGGTTTTCAATATTCTTTGAACTCAGATATTTCAATGGCTTGTTGTGAAATCGGTTTTTTACTCCTGCCAATTTAGAACATAAAAGGTACTGACTGATTATTTATGATCGATGGCAGTGAAGAAAAAAAAWAWTTTCAGCATGCAGCTTGCCAAGTTCTGAATTACCGAGTTCGCAGAACATCAAAACCCTAGTCAGTAATTTTCAGTATCCAAGACTAACACAGTCGACTGACTTTTCAAAATTTTTAATTTGATAACACAGCTAGTTCTATAATTATGTGCATTGCAATGATGAAATAATCAATTATTGAAGTAACCAGTGTGTGTCAAAATGATTTGAACATTATCAATACATTCATTCATTCCTAAGGTATAAGAAAGGGCACCCCATAATTTAAGTAGTACATGAATTTAAAACCCCTTAAAATCACTCCAAAGTCTGAGTGATATTTTTGCTTAGAAAAGCAAGATATGTATTCATCGGACTGTGCCAGCAAAAGAGAAATATGATTTGAAGTTTTTTAAAAGGCCGTTTGCATGATGGCATCATTTTACRACCAGTTCCAAAATGCTTTGTGAATTTTTTTTCTTATTCAAATTTGTATTACCTCATGAAATTGGTTAGATAATTGGTGATAATTAACTGAACATAAGAGCGTTTGCAAGGGATTCTGGTAGGAGCAGTAAATGATGCTACAATGCAAGTAAATTATTTAAGGTTCTATCAAATCAGGGTGAAAATTAGGCAAGCTTTTATTTCTTTGTTTTAATATGATTCATGAAAATTCCCTCAGAAAATGGACTTGGAATTTCTAGATAAAATAATAATAGAGAGCACTATAATCAAGTTTGTTTTTTTTAAGTATGGGCAGTATTCCCGGGGGGGGGGGGTACTCTGCCAGGATTTGGGTAGGGGTGTTCCGCTGGGATTCTGAAAGGGGTACCTTGTTTATGACAAAAAACCTCAAAATTGTAGACCCTGTTGTTTCAATTATCATGTCAGCTCGCGTATTGTTTTTTTTGACGACCATAATAACCAGTTT